GAGAATATTTTGCGGAGGTGGCGGCACGAAATGTTGCATAGGGTCCCTCCCCCCTCTGTTCACCATTCCTTGCGCAAGTAGTCGCGCATTTTTTTTTCGGTGCCGCCGCCATCGTCTTGATTCAGTTTGCTTTTAACGTCGGTGCTATTAATTCACACACAACAAATAAACGGAGAATGTTCGACATTTTTTGAATGTATTGAAATACAGTAAGCTGGTTATAGCTTGCAAATTTAATATATTCTGGCTGCCAGATAATTTGTTGTACACCATGCAAGTCAAATATCTTTGGCGTGCTTGTAAGTTGACAACATTATTACGTAAAGTTCGCCGAATTACTTACTGTTTATTGCCAGACCATTGATAATCGTATACATGTCAAACTATGTCTTAGCCCAGCTCCACCAAACATCAAGCTCAAAACTCATATCATTCGGTTTTTTTTTCAGTTCTGATGTGCATTTCAGCAGCACATCTACCAACCGATGCAAAGATGAGCAATAGCTCAGACGACACACTAACCCCCCTAGAGGCTGAAAATGACGTTGTAATACCCGAAATGGTGCCATCCAACAAAATCCAAGAAAAAGTGAACAGTATGTCACTGGAAGCTAAACTGCTGCCGCCATCCATGACATTAAATACGGAAAATGACACTCCCCATGTCAGACGTAGACGAAAGGCCACGCGTCGTGGCGGCAAATCCCAGAACTTGAAATCCGCGCAAGATGTAAAGCTACAACTTCTCCTTAAATCATTGCTCGGTAAATTATCGAACCGTGCAATTGCATCTGAAAAGGGGGCAATGCAGTGCCAGGTGGTTTGTAACGATGTTTAATTAATAAACTAAAAAGCAAATAAAGTTAAAAATGCATTAAAACATTATGTATATACTGTGTAAAGTTTATAAAAGTCGGTCTCTGGAAATATATCTGCGTCTTCGCATTGGGTTCCACGCGCGATGCCCACGTTCTATTTAGCAATTCTAAAACGAACCGCTTCTTCTCAAGCTCAAAACCATTTTTCCCGTTGTCCCCATATACCACGCATGAAAAAAATCATCTGGCTTCAATTTGAACATAATGGAAAACATATTCACCGGCTTCCTCTTGATATCAGGTAAGTACATGTAGTATACGTAATATAATTTCGACATGATGTCATCATGAACCCTATAATTTATTTTGTTGGTTGTTCATAACGTTACATTTTCCA